AATCTTTTTAAATTGAAACATACAGACATATCACCTACCGCGGGTACTGATGTAGTCAAGGCATGAATCGTACCACTTTAGTATGGTCAACCTAACGCTATCGCTTTGGGTGACTAACTCAACCGGTCACGGCAGAAAAATGACCTCCAGCGTCTTCTGAGATGAAGCAGCTTGTTTCAAAAATGTTGAATGCTCTTGCTAGTTCTATCGTTCACCTCAATACTTATTTGGCACATGCCCATTCACATATCTGTAATAATCGCAACCTGTTCACAACCGAGCATAGTTGTTCTTTTTTCCTTTCGGTGCAAGTAGTTTTTTTTTCTCCGTCTTGGCACCTCTTAGTGCGAATTGGTTCTTTTCTCTCTGTCATTGTATTTCATAGATGTATGCAAAAACAAGCAGCTGAGCAATGTGTTTCTGATCGCATAAACAATCGCGTCGCACACGCAGATTGCTGTGAGTAGGTTCTATGGAGATGTCGTGCCAGAATCGTCACTGAGAGCGCGACCGTTGCCAGTATGTGAAATGTGTCTGAGTTTTGACATGCTTGCAGTTTTTTATGTTCTATAAACATACTTTGTGCAGATGTACTGTTTTAGAGTTTTTATTGTTGGATAGGTGTTCTTGTCCGTAATCAGCTGCCAAGCTGTGAGGTACGTTTTATGAGGTCGGTTTCGATTTTATGTGTGAATGCGTCTTATCCTTGGTTGCATTTCCCCGTGTGTAATCGTGACTTAGCAGCCATGCATGTATATGGGGACTGATGAGCATCGTTGCGAATCTTGATTGTAGCGTTCAATTGTCTATCCAGCTGTTATTTCTATTTTTCTCGCATATATATTCTGATGCTAACGTTTTGAGACCCTCTTTTGTTTGTATATAATTACTGTTTCTCACGCATGTGCAACTGTATGTAGACTGTTTTTTAGTTTGATGTACAGCGGGCACAAAATCACATACATATCCTATGAGAATGTATGCTTCTTGTATATGTGTGCGTCTGCGAATGTAAATGCATCGCACAATCATTGGCTCATCTATCTGTGGTGATACAGTTGTTGTTTTTTTAATGTACGGCTTAGTTTCTTTTAGATGTTTCTTCTGCCTGTTTGTGGTGATTTCAGATTTAGGTCGACAATGTACTCGGGGGTAGGCGTTTATTCTACATAATCTACGCATATTTAATTATACAATATTGCTGCGGCCGGTCGTAAATATTCGATCGTAAATGGTCTCTAGATTTCATGTATATCTCCGTATATTTCACCTGGACAATCAACATGTAGCTGAAGGACGCTTTCATCCATGTGGGCATTGTGTCGGAAGTTTATAATGATTGCATGTTTTGTTTTTAAGTTCCTATACATCCTTGCAGTATATATCCTTTTCCGCCCTGTATCTGTCCAAAGGATGTGCAGCGGTTATTGTCTAACCGTATTGAACACCTGTCTCTCATTGAATTCGTGTCCTTCGTTGCTGAATCATCCGTCCAAATTCATCCCGATCTGATGTTCGTAGCACGCAACACGTTGTTTTTGATGCATTCTAGGCTTTCACCCCGGCAAATACGCCAGCATCCCCTTCCGGTCTACAAGATGCAATGGCTGCGATGCAGAGTATGAAAGTAGATAAATCAAACAACACAACGAGTCAACCAAAGCAATAAAACACATTTTATATATCGCTCTGCCGTATTGCCTGAATTCTCGTCGCATAGACATGCACTTGTGCTTTGTTTACAGAATTAGGGACGAATCTAGAACATGCGTCCTGAGGCTGAACATCTTTTTGTGGGCCCTCACAAATGTGCTTCATTTTCAGCCTGCCCTACTAAGCATCAAGTTTGATGTATCGCACCAGAATAATTGATTTAACCGTCATCATAGCTGGCTGACATACAAGCATGGTACAGATTTTGACGACTGGTTCAAACTGATACCATTTTGTCGCTAATTATTGCTCGGTAGTATATGCCAATCTTATGTCCTTCCTGTCTTTGGAACGCGATCACATGGTGTGCGGTTAGGCTAGTTCAATATTGTTTGTCCGGTCGTGCAGTGACTGAAATCTATGATCGGAACTTCTCCGATACCTAAGTCATGATCGAAATACCCTCGTTTAGTATTAAAAGTCTAATACTTTCAGCCTTGAATATTTTTGCTCGGATATTTAGCCCAAGCTAACAAGGGGTACTGATAAATCAAAACATCACTTCTGGACTTTTCGCATCTACACATTGTTCGTGCTACCTCATCAATGCACCCGTAAGACTACCATTGAGGAGCACATCACCTCTCAGTAAATTTATATATAGGAAATTATGCAATATGCATCCACGATTATAATATATACTTGTGTATTAAATGACAAAATATGCTACCATGAATATAATACGAACGCTCCCATGTGAATTTGTGAATACAAAAGGATATACAGATATATGAAATAATGACACCTCAAGTACAGCCGAACTTTCCCCATGAAAAAATATATGTACGAACAGATATTCTTTCAAG